TAGCAAAATGATTGACCTATCTCCATGTTGGCCTGTTGGAACTACTACATGTGCAATACTAATACTCTTGGATGCCTTTTTAATACGGTACATTAGGGGTACTTCACTATGATATACATTAAATATGCTAAACTATAGCGCTAGAGTGTTGCAGTGTAAATATATCTAGATAACAGTCACTTACATGTACTATACTGTATTAAGGTGATCCGTCAGAAGCATATAGTCATTCTTACGTTGTCTCGTATAGCTCTGTTTACTGAAGTGCAATACTAGTAGATAATACTAGAGTATCTTTGTCATATTTTACTAATCGCACTCCGCTCTTATCTGCATGATATCACATTACACTAAATAGTTGCATAGTTATGCGATATAACGATATTGTGATAAAAGTGTGGCATTACCGCTATATTGTATGAAACGTAAGTTCCAATGTTATTTAGATATCGCTAGATTACTTCGCTCTGTGCTGTTTGTGGCACAATTTAATGTAATAATGTAATGTATTATTAATTAATTAATTTAATGCGACCCAAAGGAGAAGCGGTGAGGGAAGACGATGATGATGATGTAATTAATAATGTATTTGACAATAATATTAAACAGATAACAATGAAACATTTCTGCCATGCAGTATGTAAATAATAATCAAATATACAATTATACTGTATTATGCCGCATAGTGTCATATTCAGGTAATGTAGCGATATCCAGGTAATACGGAGTGTATCATATTGGTATGTTATACTAGACGTGTTCTAGCGTATTGCATTATGTCGGTACTCCTCTATATGACCTGCCTAGTCTAATTTGATACACATACTCCATTACAGTTGAACTATACAGATTGTTTCATTTTCATGAGACCATCAGTCGATCAACTGACATGATTTCTTTGTGACCTCGTATCCATGTAATACTGATATAATAAAATACCTTTTTACTACGATGAACAATGTTACTGCGCCATCTTTGAAATAATCCAGCATTATCTTAAGCAATGCCGTTGTGATGTAATGTAGTGATTTCCAGAAAATAGCGAAGTCTATTTACTATACCGTGCTTAGCAGTTACATCTACGTGTTATTATCATCTCTCATCTTTTATGATCATCATCTATATGTGTTACTGTTCGTATCCTGACTAATACGCTATTGTAAGTATTGTACTGTTCAGCATGCTGTTTGCAGCCATGTGGCACAGATTTTGCACTATGGTAGAACTCTCTGGTCTGCATTGCACTATGATCCATGGCAAGGTGACAACACAAGTGGTCTGATCCTGCTTTACAGATGCTGACAGAAAATCCTAAGTCCCTTCTCTTCACCCCTAGCAACGCTTTAAACCATGTAACATGGTGGAATTAGTCACTTGGACCGACTGCTAATCGGTGACGAATTGCGAAAGCCCATCGTAGCTTCTTCCTTCTGCATTCGACGAAGACGTCTACTCCCTACGCTCTGATCACAGTGTTGCGAATGTGGTCATGAAATTTCCGATATTCTTCGGCCCACTGCTGTAACGGTGGTAGATGACTGGCGCTCGTGGACCTTAGTGAATGAAGAGGTCTCACAGCCACACAACACTGCCGATAAAACGGTGGAACTGAAGAGCTGGACGCGCGTGACATTCCTAGTATTTCCGAGGACGTGATTGATAGAATGGAACAGGCGTCAATTGGCACTGTTTGTCCTTCGAATTTCACCAACCTGATAATGCCGCATGTTGATCTCTTAACAAAGTAAATGTATTAAGCGACTTCGATGTTTTTGCCGTATAGCTTTCTACCACTGCATCTGATCGCTGTGCCTTCGTCTTCTACCGACCTCCGAACACTTTCCTTCGAGCTCTTGCCGCATATCTTGCTACGGACTTGGCGCTTTCTGCAAGCAATGTAACTTCATCAGCGAACGCTACGTGGTTCAGGTATTCACCGTTTATGCATATCCCGCCCTTCCAGTTCATCCTTCAGAATACCGCTTCCAAACAGGTGGTCAAAATTTTGGGAGA